TCCCCCTCCTCCTTCTCTTCTTCCTCCTCCTCCTCCTCCTCCTCCTCCTCCTCCTTCTCCGATTCCTCCTCCTTAATCCCCCTTGTGTCGTTCCTCTCTTTGGGTGCGATTGTACCCGACGTTGCTCCTGCGCTTCCATGCTCGTCTCAACTCGCCTGGGCGTCGATTTGGGATGGGCTGGTGGGGATACGTTTTTGGTACGCGGCCGCGCGAAGACGAGTCGAACGCGTCAAGAATTCGCCTTGCCTGACGAAGCGGTCGCCCCTTGGGGGACACCGAAACCGACAGGCGCCCCAGGGGCCGGCTGCTCCTTCCTCGACTGGGCCGTGGGACTTCCCGTCCCCGCAGCGCCCGTCCGCTCCGCTCACATCCACTCCCAGGCCCACCCACATCGGCATCCCACTCGGAGCCGGTCGGGACGTCGGTGCCGCCGTCTGACGCCGCCGTCGCACTCTGGCAATCGCCGAGGGCATCGGATCTGTGCGTGCAAGTGAACCGAATCCATAAAAAAACATGTAGCGGGTCACTCTGCGCGTCCTTCTCACCCCCCAGGCACACAGTTGTCCAGGACGTTGGCGCCGCGGCACATCTGCACTCCCTTCCATCTGAACTCGTCGTCGCAGACGATGCCCACCTCGAGCGGCGCACTCCTCTGTCCTTCGTCTTCGCTCTCGACCTTCCCACCACCCACCGCCCTTCCTCTAGAATGCATCCCAGCTCTTTCCATTGCTTTATCTGTTCTCCCCTGCACCTCCCTCATACATATTTGTCACTCCCCCTATGATAAATATCTGGACCAAAGGACACAACCGTACGCGGGTGCGAGTACCGCAAGCAGGTCCTTATGGGGCCACAGAACGGACCCTGCCGCTGAGGCTCTCGGTGGAGGTTGGAGCTCCCCATGGAGGCACGAAACGTGCGATGGTGTGCCGAAATAGGTGCGGGACCGCCAGGCGGACCCTGCCGCTGCGGACTTCGATGGCCCCCTATGAGGCCACAAAACGTGTGAGCGGTGTGCCGAACTGGGCGCGGGACCGCCATGCGGACCCTGCCGCTGGGCCCTTTGGAGGAGCCTCGCATGGGGCCACGGAACGTGCGACGGGTGTGCCGAGGTGGGGCGGGGCCGTCATGCTGGCGCTGCCACTCGGGTCTCAAAGGGCGCTCCATGTGGGGTTACGACACGTGTGAGGGCTGCGCGGGGCGGGGCCACCACGCGGGCGCTGCCACTGGGGCCTTCGGTGGAGCTCTCCATAGGGCCACGGCGCCATGCGGGCGCTGCCACTGGAGCCTTCGGTGCAGCCCCCTTATAAGGCCACAAAACGTGTAAGGGCATTGCCAAAATCCGGCTAGTGATAATGAGGACGATACTGATGATGACGGCGGGAGGAGGGTGGAGATGGGCGGGAGTGAGTTGACGCGGGGCGCTCTCTCTTCAGAACGCGGACCCATAGCCACAAAATGTTGCGAAGTCCACCCCTGCCCGTCCTCCTCCTCCTCCTCCTCCTCCTCCTCCTCCCTCTCCTCCTCCTCCCCGATCATTATCCCACGTCCTACTTCAACAAGTCGTGAGAGCGAAGGCTCGAAGTGTCAATTAATCACTGTCCGCTGTCGCTCCCTCCTCACAACCCTGTGTTTGTCCATCCTCCTCCTCGCATTCTCTCGCTCACCTCCTCACTTCCGCCTTCCTCCCCCCTTCCATCTCTGTGTGTTGTTTGTGTTCTCTATGTCTTTCTCTCTCTCTCTCTCTCTATGTTTCTCTCTCTCTCTCTCTCCCACTGTGAATGTATATATGTGAATGTACATGGAATGCACACATATGTCTGTATATACGTGTATAACTGTTCGCAGGTGCATACATGTGTGTGCACTGCTCTTTTTACATACAGTCATAGACATCATGCCTGCACGTGCGATTCTTCACACATGTAAACGAACACGCCTATCCTGTCCCCAGAATCGTAATTCCTCCCTGCTCGCGTGACTGTGCCCATGTTCCAGTAGATGGTAACATGCATGTCCGTATCGCGATCACAACTATGGTCGTTCGTCTTCTCTCGCTCTGCAGTTCTGCCTCTCTGTCTCTCTTTCTCTCTCTCACTCTCTCTCAATATATATATATAGAGAGAGATATGTGTGTATGTATATGTACGTCCCTCTCTCTCTCGCTCTCTCTCTTTGTTCATACGTATGTCTATATATACAAGTATATATATGTGTGTGTATGGACGGGTATCGCGATGTGTACCTCTAGTTATCTCTCTCTCTCTCTCTCGCTCCCTCTCTCTCTCTTGCTATATCGCTCTCTCTCTCTCTCTCTCTCTCCCTCTCTCTCTCTATACATATATCCCCCCTGCCTCGCGTGTGTTCTCTCTCTCTCTCTCTCTATCGCGCTCTCGTTATATATCTCTCCCCCTGTGTCTCCTCTCCTGTTGTTTCTCTCTCTCTCTCTCTCTCTCTAGCTATATATGTGGGTGTGTGAATACATATATATATATATACATACAGTTACGCACACCAATGTGCCACCGTACCCTGAGGCTCGAGATGGGGTGCCCTCAGGCCACTTGGAACTATCCGTCCGCTGTCCTGGGTCAATAAATACTAGTCAGCCTGAACCCCAAATTGTCCCACAAAAACGGTGCTTGTCTCAACCATCCTGGGGCTTGGCGCATGTTCTTGCATGTCTTGATCGGAGCGAAGAGGGCCTCAAAACGGGCCTAGAGGCACTCAAGAGGCCCCCAAGAAAGTCCAAGACGGTCCAGTCGCCTAAAGATCGCTCGAAGCCACCAAAATGGCCTCCAAACGGCCCAAGCCGCCTCCGAGACGCTCCAAGACGACGACAAGTGCACTTCGAAAAGGGCCCCGAGAGGACAAAATCATGAATGCACCTTAGGGTGTTGAAGGATTTTAGCACCATCGCCTGTTCGGGCTGCCAGCGGTCTAAGACGGCCAAAGAAGCCACCAGGATTGCCTCAAGATGAACGGCCCGAGGAGCTCCCAGAAGTGCTTCAAAACGGCCCAAGAGGGCGCCAAGATGTTCTAGCAAGCTCCCAAGACGGCCCAAGAGGCCCCCAAGACGGCTTCAAGAGGGGGCCCAGAGGAGAACACAACCACACATGTCGAGCCGCCCACCCTAAGATGGACCCAAGAGCTCCCAGAGGCCCCCCGGAGGCCCAAAGAGGCCCATAAGAGACGTTCCACAAGCCTCTGAGAGTCACTACAATATCAGATGTCTCGGATGGTGACCGATCTCACATGCACAGACGACTTGACTCTTGAGTCATACCTACTCCAACTGGCATTACCACAGCCGCGAAGATAGAGATTGGCAAAGACGAACGAACGAGGTTCGGGGATGCAAAGACGAACGAAGTTTCGAGACGCAAAGGTAGAGATTGGCAAGACGAAAAAACGATAGAGATAGAGATCAAGGTTCGATGAGGACAAGACGAATAATGACATTGAGTTTCGATGACCGAGGCTCTAAAACAACTGCCCATATTCGATATCCAACACACCTCGACCCGCAACCAAGGAATAGTGGCCCGGTTGGCCTCAGGCAAGGCTATGCACGCTCTCTATCGTTCTAGTACTTCTCTGAACTCGCCAAACGCATTCCGCAGCGGACCCCCTGCCACCTTCGAGCCGAACAACATGTAGTCCCCGATGTTGACCAGGTCGGGAGTGCGACATGAGATCATGTCCATGCTCGCGCGCCTGTGCCGAAGAGGAAGCAGCAGATTACCAAGCCTAGCGATAGACCAGGCGAGCGCTGCAGTAATTTACAGTGCTAGGGATTCGAACAGAAGCACGGTTGAGAATGCGGCTTGAAGTGCCAATCCATCAAAGACAAGTAGAACGCATGGGAGTTCCATGAGACAACAACGGGCAAACGTGGCATCACGAATGCGACTACGACAGCACGTGTGAATTGTCTAACGCGAGCAGTAGCGATGAGGCGGTTGCGTTCGCGAAGATATATGCGTATCAGTTGTACGAATGTGTGGACGCGTATGTGTACGAGGACCAGGGCGGAAACGATTAGGAGTGTAATGTTGAGTGTTGACTGACTGCATGACCGACTGGTCCCCCCTCAAAACTCATGCCATGAAAAGCCAGCCTGCCGATCGTGGCACCGAGCAGCACGAAGACTAGTCTTAGCACCTCAGTGTTGATGAAGCCCTCCAGCGCTTCCTGCGAGCAAGCTCCTCTTCAACTCCTCCGCCTCGTCCTCCTCCGCCTCGTCCTCCTCCTCCTCCTCCATCATATGGTCCCTCCTCGTCGCCTTCCCCTTCCTCCTCCTCGTGACGCCTGGTGCTGCACGTCCTATATACATGAGGCCAGTCGGTGGCCACTCGCCGCACGCTCGCGTGACACTCATCGAACACTGCGCGCCTCCACGCCGTGCACTATTATTAATATTACGAAGAATACGATTAATACTAGAGGCCTCCTAGATGGGGTCGGAAGATCGAGCCGCATCGGCGATACGACGGCGATGCATCGGCGAAACGACGGCGATGCCTCGGTGACGTCGGCGATGCATCGGCGACGTCCGCGTGAGCCGGCTTCCGTTGGTGTCGTTCAAGAAGCCAAAATCCTTCGAGGGCCTATTCGTATCCTCCGACCCTGACATCCGTCAAGACTGCCAGAGATTGAAATGAAAAACCTAGCAATGTCGTACTCGAATCGAAGGAAGTCCCCTTCCCTTTGATCCCTCCCCCGTCGGGAGGGGCAAGGGGTGGGTCAGATGCACATCCTAGTTCCAGGGCTGGAAAAAGTACCAAAACAAGCCCAGAGTGACCCAAGAGGTCTTCCAGAGCGTCCAGGAGGGCCCCCACTCCAAGCCGCCCCCCTTTCCTTCCAAGTATCCCTCCTCCATATCCCCCTCATGCTCCTATTCTGCACTATCCTCGACCCAACCCAGTTATCTGTCTCCTTTCCACATCCACCTGCACTCCCACCCGTGCTCAGCCCCCCCCCCCTCCCCCTCTAAACCTCTGCCTGCACATCCCCATACTCCTCCACATGATCGCCACCCTCCTCCTGGTCCTCCTCCTCCTCCTCCTCCGCCTCCGCCTCCGCCTCCGCCTCCGCCTCCTCATCATCCTTCTCTTTCTTCACCTCCTCCACCTCCTGGGCGTCTTCTTCCGCCTCCTCCTCATGCGGTTCCTCCTACTCCGTCTGCCTCGTCGTGGTCAGCGTCGTCGTCTTCAGGGTCGGCGGCACCGGCCGCAAGGCCTTCGCAAGATCATTATTAGTACTCTTAATACTCTCATTATTAATATTACTGCTCTTACTATGTGTTGCTCCTCCTCCTCCTCCTCCTCCTCCTCCTCCTCCTCCCCCATCCTCCTCCTCCTCCTTCTCCTCCTTCTTCTTCCTCCTGCTCCTCCTCCTCCCCCTCCTCCTCCTCTCCTCCTCCTCCTCCTCCTCCTCCTCCTCCCCCTGCTCCTCCTCCTCGCACCCCGATGGCAGTCGGAAGGGCGGCCCCACCATGTCGCCTGAGTCTTCTTTACCATCTATGGTCCTTCCTTCCTTCCGTCCTTCCTTCTGTCCTTGCTTCCTTCCTTGTCCCTCGTCATCCTCCTCCTCGTCCTCCATTCCTTCTCCTTAAAGATAACTCCTCCCTGTCGCACTCCGAGGCCAGTTGTTAGGGCGGGCTGTACGTTTCGCCTGAGAGTTCCTCACCGCTTATGATTCTAAAGCTTAGAAAATGGCAACAGGTTAACAGATGGAGGGCGGGGTGGTTTTCAACATGTGGCCCTCGCCTTAGCGCCGCGCACATTCGCTTTTAAAAATTACAAGAGCTTCACGGAATAGGGCGAATCCTTTTCAAAATGTGGCCCTCGCCTTAGCGCCGCGTACATGTTTTCAATATTTCCAAGAGTTTCACGGATTGATGGCGGGTCGTTTTCAAAATATGGCTCTCGCCTTAGCGCTGCGTACATTCGTTCTCAAAATTCGCAAGAGCTTCACGGATTGAGGGCGGGTCGTTTTCAAAATGTGGCTCTCGCCTTAGCGCCGCGTACACTCATTTTCAATAGTTGCAAGAGCTTCACGGATTGAGGGCGGTTCCTTTTCAAACTGTGGCCCTCGTCTAAGGGCGGCGCACATTCGTTTTCAAACTTTGCAAAGAGTTTTACGGATTCCCATGATCAGCGTACCAGACATGATGTGTTGGAAGGGTTCAGGATTATGCGGGTGCAACAGTTACGTTTGTTGATTCGCGGAGTTGAAGTCCCAAAAATGGCGCTCTGGCACGATTCTGGATCGTCAAGACGCAGCAGTCAGGTTGATACGTGGCCTTGAAATCCAGAGAACCATGTGTTGGCAGGCGTCAAGGTCGTCCAACGGTTGTCTTCCAACGAGGCAGTTCCCCCAATGGAAATGAACCGTTGTTGGGGCCTATGAACAGGGAGCTTAAAGGGAGGGTGAATTCCAACATCGTTGATGACACTTGGTTTCACACTGGTCGTCATCCTCCTCCTCCTCCTCCACCTCCTCCTGCTCCTCCTCCTCCTGCTCCTCCTCCTCATACTCCTCCTCCTCCTCCTCCTCCTCCTCCTGCTCCTGCTCCTCCTTCTCCTCCTGCTCCTCCTCCTGCTCCTGGTCCTCCTCCTCCTGCTCCACCTCCTCATTCTCCTCCTCCTCCGCCTCATTCTCCTCCTCCGCCGTCTCCTCCTCCTCATCCTCTGCCTCCTTCTGCTCCACCTCCTCCTCCTCCTGCTCCTCCCCCCCCCCCCTCCTCCTCCTCCTCCTCCTCCTCCTCTCCTCCTCCTCTTCGTCTTCCTTTTCCTTATCCTCCTCCTCCTCCTCCTCCTCCTCCTCATCATCATCATCATCATCATCATCATCATCAGCAGCAGCAGCATCATCATCATCATCATCATCATCATCCGCATCATCAGCATCCTCCTCCTCCTCCTCCTGCTCCTCCTCCTGCTCCTCCTCCTACTCATCATACGTCTCCTCCTCCTCCTCCTCCTCCTCCTCCTCCTGTTCCTCCTCCTCATCATCCTTCTCCCCCTCCTCCTCCTCTCCTCCTCCTCCTCCTCCTCCTCGCCTTCTCCTCCTCCACCTCCTCCGCCGCCTCCTCCTCCACCTCCTCCTCATCATCACCAAACTCCGCGTCTTATGGTTAGTAGTAGTTTTATGTGTGTTCAGGTTATGCGTAATCAGTGTGCTCCCTGGTAGCCGTATGTTCTTTGTTGGTAGTAGTACTACTACTGTTGCCAGCATTGTTCTGAGTAGTTGTAGTAGCAGCAGCAGTAGTAGCAGGAGTACGAGAACTCGTAGTATTGCTGACAGTACAAGTGTTAGTAATAGCATGAGTAGTACGATCAGTATCAGTCGCATCAGCTTCATTAGTACGCTTACAAGTATTAATTACTCAAGTACACGTCGTATGCACAGTATTGATATTATTATGATTAGTCATAGCATTATGAATAATCGCCCTTATCATCCGTGCATCCTCCTCGCTGCCCTTGCATCCTCATCGCGTACTATTCCAACTCCTCCTCCTCATCCTGCTCATCATCGTCCTCCTCCTCCTCATACTGCTCCTGCTCCTGCGCCTGCTCCTGCTCCAGCTCCTCCTACTCCTGCTGCTCGTCCTCCTCTTCCTCCTCCTCCAACTCCTCATCCTCCGCCTACTCCTCCTCTTTCTCCTCCTCCTTGCATCCTCATCGCTGCTCTTGCATCCTCATCGTTTCCTCCTCCAACTCGTCCTCCTCAGTCTCCTCCTCCTCCTCCTCCTGCTCCACCTCCTCCTCCTCCTCATCATCATCCTCCTCCGCCTCCTCCTCATCATCCTCCTCCTGTTCCTCCTCCTCCTCTTTCTCCTCCTCCTCCAACTCTCCTCCCTCCTCCTCCTCATCCTCCTCCTCCACCTCCTCCTCCTCATTCTCCCCCTCCTTCTCCTCGGTGCGTCCTCCTCGTTGCCCTTGCATCCTCGTCGTTTCCTCCTCAAACTCCTCCTCATCATCATTCCCTTCCTCCTCCACCTCCTCCTTCTCCTCCTCCTCCTACTACTTCTCCTCCTCCTCATACTGCTCCGCCGCCTCCTCTTCCTCCTCCCCTCCTCCTCCTCCTCATCCTCCTCCCTCGTCCTCCCTTTCCTTCCTCCCTCCTCCTCCTCCTCCTCCTCCTCCTCTCTCCTCCTCCTCCTCCTCCTCCTCCTCCTCCTCCTCCTCCTCCTCCTCCTCATCCTCCTCCTCCTCCTCCTCCTCCTCCTCCTCCTCCTCCTCCTCCTCCTGCTCCTCCTCCTCCTCCTCCTCCTCCTGCTACTCCTCTTCCTCCTACTCCTCCTCCTTCTCCTCCTCCCCCTCCCCCTCCCCGTGCCAATGGTGCGCAAGGCTCCTGTTGGGTAGTCGGGTGAGGACGCACGGGGCGCCTGTAAGGAGATCATCCATCTCTGAAGAGCACCTCACCCAAGCCCAGTGGAATTACGCCACCGGGGCGACACAAGCAATACGGTTTCAAATAGGGGTCCTCCCAACCCCGCTTGAAAATCGCCATGTCGGGCGAGCAATTGCTTACTCGACATATCAGGAGGCTGGACATCGTTTCCCGGCTCCTCCATACCTGCCTTATGAAGCAGATTATTATCTGGCATTCGCACGAGGTGTACTACAGGGCAGCGCCCTGATAAGGCTGTATGGGGGTGGGCCTTCCCCAGTATTGCATTGTTGAAGAGGATAGTCTTGCCAACACCAGGCATTGTGTTCATGAGTTGACCCCTCATGCCGGGGCTTCGGTCCCTCATGCTCTTACCCCTCATGCTGGGGTTTGCCCTTCATGCGTCGACACACCGTGCTGGAACCTTGGTCTCTCACGCGTCGACCCCTCATGCTGGGGCCTTGGCTGGCCCTTCATGCGTTGACCCCCTCATGCCGGGGTTTCGGCCCCTCATGCCCTGACCCCCCATGCTGGGGCCTTGGCTGGCCCTTCATGCGTTGACCCCCTCATGCTGGGTCATTGGCCCTTCATGCGTTGACCCCTCATGCCGGGGCTTCGGCCCTTCATGCGGTGACCTCCCCATGCTGGGGCCTGGGCTGGCCTCTCATGCGTTGACCCCCTCATGCTGGGGCATTGGCCCTTCATCCGTTGACCCCTTCATGCTGGGGCATTGGTCCCTTCATGCGTTGACCCCAATGCTGGGGCCTCGGCTGGCCCCTCATGCGTTGACT